AGCCAGCCATTCCAGTGTGAATGAATCAAAATTATATCTATTTTTTTTTTGTCAGATCAGCCAAAAAATATTTTGGGTGTGCTGCCGAATTTTAGCAATTAATTTATGTGTGCCATGAAATGAAAAGTTCAAAATCGCTGCTGGTGACTAGATTTTCAGCAAGAAAAAAAAAGATTTGATTAAGCAATATTGTGAAGTGCTACATGTTATATATTCCTCTAACAAATTCACAAAAGGCAAAGGACTAGCACACTGAAGTCTGTAAACAGTTGTGCAGGAAAGAACTTTTTAAAATTGGACACATATTAACATGCGGAACTAGTGTCTCACAGCATACCCTCTGGTAGATCACACAATATAACATTTATTCCTATGAGAATGAAACTCGCCAGAAACAAATCCACGAGAAACTGACAAACATAAAATACATCAAATTCCTTCCCTTCTAAGTCAGTGTCAGAGACCAACATGAACTTAACAATTTCTCTTTACGTTTGTCCATACTCCACACATCAGTGGTTTCTTAACTTGGCTTCATATTAAAGTCACACGGGCAGCTTCAAAATAAATACTAATGCCTGAGCTTTATTTCCAGAACAATTAAATCAGAATCTCTGGTTTGGGCATCAACAGTTTTTCGAAGGTCCAAATGAGACAGCTCTGGGACCTGGGCCTGGGATCCCAAGGACACCAGATGGCTAGAATGAATGCAAAAACGTCACCACCCCTCTGCTACCTACTCAAAAGTGCAGTGGTAGCTGATTTCATCTCCCTGCTAACTGCCTGCTTAAACTACTGACCTGAATGTGCCCTTGATCGAGGTTTGACGACCTCCCCAGGGTGGCGGGAATGAGCAGCCTGCCATCTTACCCCTACAGCTTTAGCGCAAACACAGTTACCAGGCAACACAGCTGGAAAAGGAAGTCACCGGACCCTGAGAGGCACCACTCCTCACGCCTGCCTTTGTCAAAATGCCTGCCAGCCCTGTCCCCAGGTTATAGCATCGGCCATGCAGAGCCAGCGCCATGGTCAGTTCAGAGCCCCCTCCTTTCCTCTCTGCTGCCTCCCTTGTGCTCGAGCAAAAAACTTAATAAAATCGGTCTGGAAATTTCTCTGGGGCTTCCTCTCGATCTCTGTCTTGGGGAAGCCAAGAACCCCAATGCTGGTAACACTCAGGCAAACCTACAGGGAGGAGGGTTAAGAATGCAGCTATATGTTAATAGTATTATTTTATCACTAAAATTGTTAACGGTACAGTTGGAGAACTGGGAAAGGGAATGTGAATTCCAGTTAATAATTCAGCTAGAAAATCTGCCCCTAAAAACCTGAGAATGGGCTATGTTTATTCTGCACATAGACACCAGTCCTGATATATTCTTGGCCTTCCCTCCTCTGTACTTATTCATCATTACATTTGTGGTTTAATGCTAATAACTAGTGTATGCTAAACTGATTGCCAACAACTTCTTCAAGGCAATCTTTAATTTTATACAAATAGAACCAAATTTTCTATTATCTTCCAAGCCTGAATTATGGGTACCTATTTCTCAGAAGTTTTAAGTATGATTCCCATAAAACACAGCCAGAAGTAAACTGCGAAGCCAAAACGGTCTTCCTGGAAAATACATGTTTTAAAACTGCATATCATAAAAGGTTCAGGACTTAGTTAAATGATGCTCACTATTTATTTTATAGCCATCATTCCAAGCTTGGAAACTTTATCATCCAAAATGCAATGAAGGTATTACAATTGCTGAAAATTCATGTTTCAAAGCACAGTTAAAAGTTAATCTTCCTGGGAATACATTTATTATCCAGGAAAGTAGTGGAAAGAAAAAAGTAATAACACATCTCTAAACACAGCTGCAAAACAAACCACACTGCAAAATGTTTGGTTATCCTGGCTATCATTTTTAATTTTCATCATCTTTGAGTAGACTCTGGACACAAACAGTACAACCTCCTAACTTTAATCTGGATTTCAAGTCCTTCCACTCATCCTCTCAACCTTTCGCTTGAATTTGTGAATAATTAGCTCAGATGAAATAATATAATGGTATTATAACTTTTAATTTGGTTGTCGTCAGGGTTAGATGACTGAGAACAATCTCCTCCATCCCTTGTTTTGCCTTTGCAAAGGCACGGGGTTGGTTCTTTCTGCCAGAAATCCTCTCCATCTTGCCTCCATTAAGACATTTAGGTCATGAATCACAGATGTAGAAGATAGCCTGAACGAATCTAAACTCTGCTGTCTCCTCAGAAACTCTTCTACAAAACCTTCCCTAATCTTACCCAACATTCTAGTTACACTCTCTCTTTTAACCTGCCCTTGAAATCCCCACTCAGACCCTTTCTCCTCAGGGCAGCCTTCCTTGATTCTTCCAGGGAGAACAAGTCCCTCCTTCTGCGTCCTCTATTATATGCCCTTGCCACACTCCTCTGGAGTGTACCCTTCATACGACCACCTTTTCTTCTCTCCAGTCCTGCACAGGGTTAAGCTCACAGACAGGACAGTCAATGTCTCATGAATAGTGTCCTCGGCATCTCTGTCAAGTCTGTACATAATCGTCCACTCTTAACCCCTTCTTATAAGCACCTTTCCCATTCAGCTTGAAAGCTCTTTGAAAGTAGAAATGATTTCTACTTCAGCATCCCCAAGGGACCTACAAGACAACAGGAGCGTTTTTAGATTCACGGGTCTCGAGGTAGCTCACCAGATTTTTAACGTTTGAGAGGGATACTAAAGTGAAGGGATGCGCAAATGAGAAGACATACCCACATTCCAATTAAGTACTGAAAAATATGCTTTCCTCAATGTTGTTAATACCTCCCTCTCAACGTACTAGCTGAAGCCAAGAAAAACACAGACTCTCCAAACCTACCCACCTAGGGACTATGCCATGGAATTTCTCAAACAGCACCTCCTATTGACTTACACATGAATTTGGACCATTGTCTTAGAAAATCCCATAGAAAATCATAACAGGAAGAAGTTCTATTTAAGAAAACAACTCCAGAGTATCTGAGTTTAAAGTTTTCTTATTCACAGGGGATCTAAGTTTCCTGGTAACTCCAGGGTAAACAGGCACATAGGAAGTGAAGCTGGCTTTTTTTTTTCCCCTCTCAAAAAATTAATGGATGGTGAGCTCAAGAAAGAAAACTGAGAGGAAAACATAAAAGCCCTGTATTTTTGCCTGCAGTCGGTTTCATCCCTGGCTACATTCCTTCATTCCCCCCTTATCATCACTTTAACCAGTAAGAAGCAGAAAATTTGAATGACTGAATGATAATCTCAGTTGACAAAAAGTACTAAAGTGGTAATTGTTAAGGAAGGAAAGACATACTTAAATACTTTTCCTGGACCATTTTGATTTCACCAAGAAAAAAGAGAGGTAATAAAATCTATTTTTCCACCACTTAAAGTGCCAAAAGGCAGCTTCTTTCAAGAAATTTACATCCAAAGAAATTTAAAAACTGCAAAAGAACTAGTTTAGGACAAGCCACAACTGCTAAACATACAAAAGGAGAAAGTAACATTCAGGATATTTAATAATTTAACTCAAGGATCATGTTTCTGAAAGAGGCATGGAGTAACAAAGTGTTCTCCTTAACTACGATTAGGAAAAACAGAAAATGTTTCATACTGTAGTTTGGCTGACTACAAACTTCCCACAAAAAGTATAATATTGACTAAAACAATATTAATGTCAATGGCCACAGAGAAGGGAGAAATTGTATTATGTACAATACAAGCCCATAACAAAATCTTTGGGGAAAATAAGGACAATACATACTTTTTCCACCTAAGATATTAATAGCAATGAGCCCATTATTCCTTGAATAATGCTGGCAACTGACTAGCAAAAAGGAACACACCCTGAATGAGACTAATCTTCTTACACAGTATATACATTATACAGAGAGGGTGTTTATCATACACTGGAACAATGTATTCCCATGGTTTAAAACACACTGTGGTATTGTTGCTATCTACGCATTTTAATGAGAGGCTTGCGGAAAAATGTCTTATCTAAGAGCACTGCTCCTTTAAAGATGTAACTTGAGCCATTCAATGAGGGGTAAGCTACTGAATGCACACACACCAAATTTTGTTAAAGTGTGAATGCATAAACCTTTGGAAGAGGATGATCATGCAATTACTCAAGTCACTGAATTCGTTTTATGTATTTTAGTCTGACTCTTAATTGCCAGGACTCATCATGTTTGTCAACTACATCAGGAAAAGGGGAGGAGACTGCAAGTTCACACGTAGATCCAAACCCAAGAAGCATCACACACTGTGCCAGCTCCACAGGGGTGTCTCTCATGTCTGGGGTACCTGCTGTCTGGGTTTTGCTCCAAGTTCCCTTCCACGGGTGGGTTTCTTCTGCTTACTCACAGCTTCTCCTTTGTAACTCCACGTGTCCCATGACCAACACTGTCACTCCTGGCTTCTCCCTGGACCCGTCCAACATGCCATTCCCTTCCCACTACTACATGGGGACTTAGTTTCCCAATGTAGTAGAGACAAATCTCGCTCAGTGAGTTTTCAGAGCCAGTCACATGAGCCACGGCCAGTGTCCACAGAAGGGTAATCGTTGGGTCTGCTGCCCACATCGAGGCCCATCAGCTGTGGCTGGAAGGGCTGGGAAGCAGTTAGTACTGACTGTGGCTAGCCCCTCTTCTTTTCCAGGGCACGGTATGTGGGAAGGCAGGCATATCATCACATAAACCACAAAGTGCATACATTTAAAAGCAGCCTTCAAAGACAAAAGTAAGGTAAGAGTCGAATTAGCCTGAGGATAAATTCTAAAGCAATCTATTTTGCCTAAATAAAATGAAAATATTAAACACATCTAGCAAAAGGCTGAACTTCAAAAAATAAAAAACAGAAAGGATTGTTCATGGAATGACAACAAATTGTTATTGTAAGTCTTATGGGTAGAATAAAAGAGGAAAATATCAGGTATGAACTTTAGAACGCCCAAACCTTAACATGATGTTGAACTCTTGACTCTTGTCAAAATAGGGGGGACAAATCCATGCCACTGTGTTACTTCATTAATCTGTCTCCGGCCTTTTGGTTGTCCCTCTGGTGTGCCACAACGAGCCTGGTTCAGAGCCCTATTTACCAAAATGGGCAGCTGTAGATGAAATTTCTCTTATTATAGAAGCCTAGCCCACCCACAAGGGCATCATTGATGATTTAAAGAAAATCATTTCTGTTTTATTAACATTAGTTAAACAAAGTAAAAGAAAAAGAAAAAGAAAGAAAAGAAAAGAAAAAAGCACTCTTCAGGTCCTGGCTGCCACAAACTAGCCGTCTGACCTTGAAAAAAAAAAATCTCAATCTAAGGCTATTCGGATTATTGTTTTCAAGAAAAAGACATCAGCCCCACATCCAGAACGCACTGATTTCTCTGTGAGCCCCCAGTAAACCTGCGGAGCTTAAAGCTCTTCAGTGACGGCCAAGGCTCCACCTGAATCACACAGAAAGGTAGTGCACAAGCCTTCACATCACAGAGTATCATCCTGAGGCTGGCTGATCACCTCCATCCCAGGTAACCCTATGGAGTCCACAAGGAAGAAACAAAACCATACCGGAGTTTTGCCGACTGAGTCACAGAACCAGGTGAAATCTTTGAGGGGGATGCTTTCCACCCTTTCGTGTTCTGGAAACCATAGCGCCACATGGTCTATAAGCCACATGTCAGGTCAAGAGCTCAGAGAAACAGAACATGTGAGTTACCTCTAAGTGGGTCTCTGCCTGCCAGTCTGAAATCAAGGATCCTTATTTTATACTACGTACCTAGCGATGACACTGAAGCCAACCTTTCCTCTTCTATTGGATGAAGAATTTTCAGTGCTTGAAAATGATATGATCTTGGGCTATGTCTAGATCACATCCATACTGTGAATACGATGGCCTCACTATCTGTAACTGTACTGGTCAGGCTACATCTAAAACAGCACACCACTGCCACATTTAAAATGGGACATTTTAATGACTCTTTAAAGTCAATAGAATAGTGAGGGGGTCTCAAAATTAAGTCATATGATAAATTTGACTACAGTATCCTTCATCTGAAGAAAAGAAGGCATAGAGATATAAAAACCATCTTTAAATTTTCCTATAAGTCCAAATGGCAAAACAAGAGCAAATGGATTTTAACCAATTAACGACCAAACTTTCACCAGATATTGATTTAAATTTATTATTTGCTTTTAAAAATTGCAGTAGCTATTAGGGTATATTCACTACCATCAAACACACATTTTTAAGGAATCTATTGACGTCTTCTACTTCCATGGTTGCAGAAAGAGAAATGAAACAGAAAATGTGATTTTCACAAAGCAAATGTGTGAAGTGACTGCCAAAATAAAAGCCGAGTATAAAACATTATGACAGAACTCTACAGGTGACATACAGCATGCTTGAGAATACAGTCTGACACCCAGGCTTCTCACATCCAAATGAACACAAGGAACTTAGCAGACTAAAGAATGGATGACAAACTAATCACTGAGTCTTTTTTTAATCTTTTCTCATTGGCCTTTATTTGCTAGACTCTTGACAAGAAAAGAGAGCAAATGATAAGATATAAAATAGGTTCAATTCTTATCTTTAACACCTTTCTAGAAGAGGACCAGACAACCTGCTTTTTTGGACGTCTCCTTAGTGTTATACGTGTTCAGTTATCCTTATTTAGCCAGTAGTATAAGAGAACCGTGATCACAGATTCTCGCATTGAAATTTATCCTCAGGGCCACAATGAGGATAAGAACTCAGTGTCCCTGAATGTTAGTTTTAAGGCCTACCTGTCCATTGGTGATGACATCCACTGGTGATAACCTTTGCTTAAATTTGGAATCAACACTGTAATTCTGCATAGCTTTCTCAGCACATCTTCAGAACCATGACATCAGATACTGTACTGTTCACTGTATATGTGCCCTTTAGTAACATTTGAATCGTGAACCGTGTGAATATATTACCTATTGAAACAAATACTAAGATTAAAATTTTTAAATATTCTAATTTTGCCTGGCCAGTTTGGCTAAGTGGTTAGAGCATTGGCCTGCAGACTGAAGGGTCACAGGTTTGATTCTGATCAAGGGCACGTACCTGGGTTGCTCCATGGCCCTGGTTGGGATCATGCAGGAAGCAACCAATCAATGTCTCTCTCACATCAATGTCTGTCTGTCTCTCTCTCGTTCTTCCTCCCTTCCTTCCAGTCTCTCTTAAAAAAAAAAAAAAAAAAATCTTCAGGTGAGGATTTACAAGAAATATGTAAATTTCCTAATTTTATTCAAATCAGATATGACCTAAAATGTTTAAGCGTAGAGACTCAGTGTTAGAAAAAGTATATCATGGGCTATATCAATAGTTTATTGAATTCTTTTTGAAATAATTAAAACTTATTTCTATTAGTAGAGTAACATGATCTATTCAACATATACAAAATAATGGCCAGTGGAGAAAGTAGCAGCAATTTTATTTAAAGTAGAGATTTCTGCTCGGTAGGTGTGGCTCAGTGGTTGAGCGCCGACCCATGCACCAAGAGGTTGCCGGTTCCATTTCGGGTCAGGGCACGTGCCCAGGTTGTGGGCCAGATCCCCAGTGCAGGGCATGCAAGAGGTGGCCAATCAATGTTCTCTCTCATCAATGTTTCTCTCTCTCTCTTTAAAAATTAATAAAGAAAAAAAAATTTAAATAATGGTGATTTCTGCCTCCCCCTCAATAAAACGATTCAAGTAGTGCCCATCTAAGACCACCTAATATACTCATTTTGAGCAACAGATGGAGCCAACTATTCCTCCCAGCCATTTTCCCCAGAAGACAACACTTGCTACTTTCCAATCTCAAAATGACAAAAGTAATGTTTGCCAAAGAAGGATGAATTTGAGGGTAATAAAAATATACCACATAAACCACCAAACTGTATCCTATTTATATTAGTCATATTGTTAGCCTTTGTGAAAACCATAGTTTGTAGGTCCGTTTTCCAAACCTACATATTTTCAGAGTATAAAATATCCTCACATTTAAAATATGTGCTGTCTACTTTGTGGAGAAGGCATGTATGTACATAACCCCAGGCAATGGAAACATTGGCTTTCGTCAATTACAGTGCTGACTGGATTGTGTCTTCTTCAGCCACTGGGACTCGAGATTCCTAAAGCATTTTTGCTTTGATGAGTCACATCTGTAATACAATCACTATACTCATCCCCACCTAATATACTGCAACACATTTTCCCCTCCAAGATCTGGCCATAGTCATTTCACAAGGGGGGGGGGGGGGGCGCTGATTAAAAGGAAACAGGACAGACAGTGAGTAAGCCATGAACAACTGCCCAAAGAACTGTAAAAATCCCAGCAGATCATTTCCATGTGTTTCAGTTACGGTTGCCACGAGGGGTAGACAAAGAACTAGAGACAACTGATAAAGTTGTATCCATTTCCTCCTTTTGTCAGTGTAGTCAGAGCCAAAGAATAAAGTACAATTAATTACTGGGGAAATTGCAAAGTTTTAGCATAGAAAAATATTTGGGATAAATCCAATGCAAATAGTCTAATGTGTAATCTTATCAGCCAATCAGAGAATATTAAAAGGCCCTTTATCCATACATTTTTTAATATAAATGGAAAGAAAGACTAAGGTTGTATACACCAGTAGTTGTCTTTCAAAGGTAGAATTACAAATTAGATTTTTTTTCATTTTCTTGCATGTCAACTATGTATTTATTCTATACAATTTAGAAATGACTTGCAATGAAAAATAAGCAGATTTGGTAAAAATTACTAGGCAGTTAAAATCTATAAATCAAACTGAGTATCAAACGATAATAAATACAATTTATAGTTTTAGCAAATTTTTCTGTTTATAGTGAATTTTTCTACAAAATCATTTCCTCCATTAAAAGATGTTATAAGGCCTGGCCAGTGTGGCTCAGTGAATTGAGTATCATTCCATGGACTGAGAGGTCCCAGTTCAATTCCCGGTCAGGGCACATGCCAGGGTTGCTGGCTTGATCCGCAGTAGGGGTTGTGCAGGAGGGACCCAACTGATGTTTCTCTCTCTCTCTCTCTAAAAAGTCAATAAAAACATTAAAAAAAAAAAAAGATGTTAGCCATGGCTGGTTTGGCTCAGCAGTTAGAGGATCGGCCTTTCAGTGAGGATTAAAAAAAAAAAAAAAGATATTATGAGGTTGAATTATGTCACCCCAAAATTCATGTTGAAATCCAAAACCCTCAGAATGTGACCTTATTTGTAAATAGAGTCACTGCAGATGTAATCTTTAGGGTGAGCCATAATTCAATATGACTGGTATCCTTATAACGGGCAATTTGGAAACAGAGACACACACACACACACAGAGTAAACTCCATATGAAGATGAAGGCAGAGACCAGGATGATGCTTCTACAGGCCAAGGAACGCCCGATATGGCAAGCAGATCTCCAGAAGCTGGGAGGGAGGCATGGAACATCTTTCTCATAGCCTTTGGGAGGAACTAACCCTGTTGACTCCTTAATCTTGGACTTCTAGCCTCCAAAACTGTGAGACAACACATTTCTGTTGTTTAAGCCACCCAGGTTGTTGAACATTTTTACAGCAGCCCTAATAAAGTAATATAAAAGGTTTCAAAGCACAGCACATGAAGACATAAAACTCTGACCACGTACATTTTTCCTGACAATCTCTTTCACTACATAATGCTTGCAAAGTCAACATCTCCTTCCTATGTTCCATCTCCCCTTCGTAAGGCCACACAAATACGTTTTCTCCCAGGGAATGGAAGGAGTGACATATGTCACAACCAGGCCTGGCATGGCATGCCTCCTCCATACTCTTGTTCTCTACCAGCTCGCATTTGGACGTGGTAACTTAAGGAACAGCTGAGCTACATCACAGAAGGAATCTGGGTCTCTGACTGACAGTAGGGGACAATGCCACCCATCAAGTGGGAATACTCACCTTAAAATGTTATGTGAAAGTAAAATAACTCTGTTCCTTAAACAACTATATTGTTGGATTTCTCTGCTATAACAGGTTAGCTTTTTGCCCTAACAGAGTATCGGGGGAAGTAAAATGTTTCAAACACATTCAGTAAAGCAAGTAAATCTTGCAAACAATAACTGAATGGGAAAGTTTATGTGTACATATAGTAAACTGAACTATTACAGCTTCAAATGTGAGACAATGTATTTCATGATCTTAGTAGTTGTTAAACTATAATTTAAACCCTTTTGGAAATCTACCAATTCTTATTCTTAAAGATATATTTTTTTAAAATTTTAATGATTTTTAGAGAGAGCGGAAAGGAGAGAGGGAGGGAGACAGAGAAACATCGACGTGAGAGCAAAACATCTCTTCAGTGTGAACCATGCCCAACCAACCAAGCCACCCTGGCCAGTGCTTCTTTCATTTTTTTAATTCCAAAATTTTTCAGTGAGATTAATTAATTTAGGTTAATAATATTGCTATGATTTTAAATATATTTTAAAGTTACTAAAAACCAAAGTAACATAGAAAACGTTTCATGCTCCTCCTCCATCCCCTCTTTAGGAAGAGCCAGTATGAAGCTGGGAAGGTATCCTTCCAGATGTAGATGTTATTTTAAATAGTAAAGGCAGTCAAATGTTTAACTCAGCTCAAGAGGTTTTAATTTTGTTTTGTGATACACACCTGGAGTCAAAGCCAAAAAATATCCTAATAAGCATACACAGACTTTGAATTTTCATTACTCTGGAAGAAGAAAAGTATTTTTCAAAGATGCTAATGACCAGCAATATGACCTATTTCTTATTCTTAAATGTTTCCCCAAATGTCATTATGTGAAACTGGAATATGTGTGACTAGGAGAAAGTTCCTGGAGGACAATTCAATACTTCTCCATTACTTCATTCTACTGTAGATGAACCATAATGTCTATTTCTGTCTGGTCAAAACACTGAAAATTACTCTTCTGGAACCTGGGATGTTTGCCTCTTAATAAGTGACAGGGTTTTTTCCAGAGTAAGTATCCAAATCCTATATGGATACTTGTCTATCAGGAGGACACTTTCTAATAAGTTAAAGAAGAAAATGAGGAGACAAAAACTATTCTCATTTAGTTATTCAAGGACCTCATTAACCTGTAACCAAGAACAGAATCCACAATTCCAACTCACAGTTTGTGGGACACACACATGTTCCTGGATTGAAACATGTGTTTCCATTTAAACTGCTGGAATGTATATATGGCTCCACAAAGAGTGATAAATATTAGCAAATCTTCTAAGAATGAAGGTCCTTTATGACCACATATGCTGTGTTTTGATTCAGCTTTTAAAATGTCTGAGTCATACAAAGCTGAACAGTCTGCTTTTTACATTTATCTACAAGTTAAAGAACAATGAAAAAAAAAAACTCCTTCCACAGATAGCATCGATTTGTCCCATCTCAGCCAACCCAAGGCAAATCTGAGATTTCTGCTCTGTCTTCTGCTTTCTTCCCCTTGTGGCAAGCCTGCCCCAGCTCAAGGCCCAGCATTCCGAACTGTTCAGGTAATAAGGACAAGATGGATATTAACCAATGTCAGATACTGCCAAGTAAAGGGCTTCAGGCATAGTACATACACTTCAACAGCATGAGCCTAAAGCAGATATGGAAAACTGTGGTCTGGCACATTCGGTCTGGCCCACACGGGATTTTTTAATTTTTTTACATTTAAATCCTTTAGGAAAGCCCCCGCCCCCCTAAAAGAAGGTATGTCGTCACATAGGATTCTGTAGCTCACTCTGCACTAGGAACCCCTCACATGCTGTGTACCAGACAAATGTTTGAAGAACAAATGCCACATAAATTCTTCCACCTCTGAGCCTTCTTACATCCTGGGTCTTTGCCTAGAACGCCTTCCAACCCACCCAAGCCTACCTCCTGGTGTGGCTCAGAGCCACTCTTCTGAAGACCTCAAGAAGTCCTTTCTAATCTCCTAAAGTCCCAGCTAAATGCTTAATCCTCTATGGCCCCAGGCTCTCCTGCTATTTCTGTGACTATATCATCAGACACCAGACTCATTCCTGTAGGGCAGGGGTGATGCCTTGCTCATTTTGGTCTCTCCAGTGTGTAGCACACAGCAGGTGGTAAATAAATATTTTCAGAATGAAGAAATGGCCATATAAGTATCAGCTCTGAAAATATTTGCTTTTAATACTCTTGGCAGAGAATGCAGATGAAAGATGAAGTGGACCAAAAAAAAAAAAGATCATACAGAAGGCAAGAGAATAAAGAGGTTTGTAAAGGCCACGTCTGGTTACACACAGGTGTTTTCCAAAAGCTTGATGATCCTCTACAGCAATATTTAATCTCATCCATAGTTGCTGGTCTATTTTCCCTCTTCCTGGCCCCTAAGGAACCTATATGTTTGTTCCTTCACATGTTTCCTAAACCCCAAGAGCAAAGACACAAACACAGTAAAACCAATAGAAGAAAAAAAGAGCATAAACCTGAATCAGTTTCTTTAAAATGATAGGTATTGTCCCTTACATAAAACATTTAAGAACAAGAGCTGATTAGAATTAATCAACTGCTCTTCGTAGTTTCTCATATTCATTTTTTAGTAAGTTCCACTCCTATTTCCCTTTGCTACATGTGACTGGCATTGTCTCCACTGAAGATCAGAACTTTCAGAGGATACCCAGGGACAGAAGGGACATGGTTACCAATCGTGAGCAAGCAGGTCTAAAGGCACATCCCGCCCACAGTCACACCTGCAGGAAATGAGGAGAGCTGCGAGGGACTCCTCTCTACCTGCCCGGTCAGGCGTGTGTTTGGGGAAGAAGAAAACAGGGAGCAGCAGTAGAAGGAGATAATCCGGGCAGCATGTCTGGTAGTCCTCTTCTTCTTTTTTTTTTTTAATTCTAAAACTTATTTTTATTTATTTATTTATTTTTAATTTTATTTTTGATACAGATGTTTCTCCTTTTTGACCCTGTTGACACCCTCCTCCCCATCCCTCCCACCCCTTCCCCTGCTTTGTTGTCCATGTCCATCAGTTATGTGTACATGCATATAAGCTCTGTGGTTTATCTCTTCCCTCCCCCCACCAACCCCTCTTCTGAGGGATGTCAGTCTGTACCCTACTTCCACGTCTCAGGGTCTATCCTATTCCTCAGACTGTTATGTTCATTATATTCCACAAATAAGTGAGATCATGTGGTGTTTGTCTTTTTCTGCTTGCCTTGTTTCGCTTAGTATAATACTTTCCAGGTCCCTCCATGTCATCTTAAAGGATAAGAGATCTTTCTTTCTTATAACTGCATAGTACTCCATTGTGTATCTTTGTCTCCAAGCAAAAACAATCATTAGACTTGCCCAGAAGGAGGCTCTTATTATGGTTAAATGTCAAACAGCATCCCCCCCTTTCCTAGCCCTGAGCATCTCCAGCTATCTTATCAAGAACCTTCCCCCTTTCACGTGGAAGGGAGCAGAGCTGCTTCTACTGTAGCTACTGAAACAGGTATATGTCTCCTTAAATATCACCAAGGCAGGAGTAAAAAGCAACTTACCTTTTGAAAAAAGTCTTCCCCACTTTTGCCCTTTCCTTCGGCAGCAGCTGTAAATAAAAATGTATACATTTAAAATTGTTTCTTTTTTTTTTTCAACCTACATTCAAAAAACTCTCCAGGTTTGAGAACACAAAGGTACACAAGATGCCATGCCTGTTCTCCCAAAGCTCAGTGCCTGCTAACAGGCCTCATCAGGGAAGTAAAATTGATAAAGAATAAAACACTTATGTAATGAATTATACTTCAAACCCCTTTTCCTGTCTGAACGTCTCACAAACCTCAACGCTCACACATAGATGAAAGTAATCTTTCATAGTTAAGCAACTACATGAACAAATGCAACCACCAATATAATCAGCTGTAGTGCTCTAAGCACTTCCTGTCTGTAATCAATCCCAGGCCCGAGGCTGCCTTTTTCAGCTGGGGGCTCGTGGAACATGGCCTGCTGGGCTGGGTCCGTTTTATGTTGGGCAATGACTGCATACTCTACTTGGATTTCTGCTGGCCTCATATACTACGTTAATTCACTCCTTCATGGGAGTCAAGTCACCGACAACAATAAAACTTCATGTGAGATTAATTAATAGGTCACTGTATTTGAACCGTCTTCTTATATCTAAATGGCAGCCTATAAATACAGGACAAACTGAATTCTCTGCGTTCAAAAGTCTTAAGACTCTGTGAACATTTATTTTTTTATCTGGGGGGAGAGGTGGGAAATGTGACTGAGGGGAGAGAGGGGACAAAAGCCAAGAGCATCTTCCTTGCAATAGCCTCAAGGTGCATCCCGTCAGAGGGCAAACACCAAACAGGTCTCGAATTCAAATGCAGAGGGGAACAGGGGTTCCCTGGAGAAGCCACTCCCTGACCTGGACAAAGAAAGGAGCTGGAGCAACAAGTCCTGGAACTTGTTAAAAGGCCCGAAGACCCAAGAAGTATGGCAGATCATTCTATTAGGTGGAGGATTCAAGACTTAAAGAAATTCTCTCTGCCCTCAAAATGATAACAATATTATAATTTTTTTTCACCAACTTTAATTTCACAGTTTAATATAAGACTAGCCACCTGCAATTTTTCAAACGTGTGTGTGTGTGTGTGTATTTTTTTACAGTATGTTTTCATCCAGAAAAGGAGAGCACAGAGTACAGGTCGCTGTGGTTACTAAGGGCAATTTGATGAAATGCATGAAAACAGTAGCTAAAAAGATTTTTAAAGAATTAAAACTTGTATTCTAATGTGCAACTGCATAACACCCCCCTAAAGATGTCCATGTCCTGGATCCCTAGAACTTCTCGATATGTTACCTTACAATGGCAAAAAGGGTTTTGCAGATGTGATGAAGAACCTCGACATAAGGTTATCCTGAATTATCCAGCGGGGCCCAGAAATCACAGGGGTTCCTTACAAGAAGAAAGAAGAAAGCTCAGAGTCCAAGAAAGCAACGTGACAATAAAAAATGATAGAGCGTGGTACGTAACGACAAACGGAGAGCTTGAGAGAGGAGACAGATACAGAGATGTTATATGTCTGGCTCTGAAGAGGGCAGAAGGGGCCGCGAGCCAAGGAACAGCCTCCAGAAGCTGGAAAAAACAAGGAAATGGATTGTCCTCTGGAGCCTCTGGAGGGAGCATGGCCCTGCCAACACCTTGACAGAGCCCACTGAAACCCATTCCAGACTTCTGAACTTAAGGTAGTAAATTAATGTTGTAAGCCACCATACTGTGGGAATTTGTTACAGAAGCAAAAAACTAACACGTAATGCCAATACCATTTCTGCACAGCTCCCACACCATAAACAGCATGAACCGAGGAGAGACATGGATGTGAGCAACTGAAGTGTACATTTCCACCAAAAGATTCTTTGTGGTTAACTCTACTGATTATAAATTTTCACCCTCTAACTTGAAAATATATCAACATTAAAGCTTACCTTTAAAAAAAAAAAACAAAGTGAAAAATAAATTTGGACGACGACGACAAAACAAAGCTTACTCTTTCTAAATAAACTAGCAAATGTGGCTGAGCCTGGCTAGAGGGGCCACCCAGGCAAGATAAAATGTCAGTGCCCAAACCTAGCAACGCAAACCTACTATCAAGTGCCTTGGAGGGACTTCAATTCAGCCACCTCTTCTCTTGGGCTATCTTTACCTCTAC